TTATTAGAGAATGTAAATTTCTTAATATAGTTTAATCTCAATAAAAAGTGGCAGGACAGCCGAATTATAAAAAAAAATATATAGTTTGTATAATCTTGTATAACCTTGTATAACCAAAATTAGTTTAAAGTAATACAAGAGTATAACTAGTATAGCTAGTGTGACTAGTATAATAGACAAGTTATATATAATACTAAACTGTATATTGAGATACAAAGATTATATAAAAATAGTAGTTAATAAAAATAGATTTATATTATTAACTGAATTACTATTTTAGTAATTTGATTGATACAATAAAAAATTTAATTAATTCTAGGTTTGAAAGTGATTTACTATTATACAAAAAAAACAGATTTGGAGAAGAAGGTTGAAGATAAAGACAAAAAATTTTTTAAAAAGAAGTGAAAAAGGTTTTTGTTAATATTTTGATCAATATTGGACCAAAAACCTCTGTTTTGACTAAGTGAATAAGTTTAAAACTTATCTTAGAATTACCAGATAAATTGTAAAGACAGTTTTAAAGAAATAGTTAAAAACTTAAATTTTAAAACCAAAAGTAGTTTTTGTAGCATTATGCTATGAGTTTTCAAGATAAAAACTTGAAACTTTTAAATTATAAGAGCTGAACAAGGTTATTTATAATATTAAAAACAGTTATCTTAATAAAATTTAAGTTATTAAGGATTTTTAATAGGCGAATTTTTATTTAAATTTTGTGTAAATGATTGATGAAAAGAGTTTATTTTAAATTCTTAAAGAAAATTTTGCAAGGACTTTTATTTTAATAGATATTTAAATTTTTTTAAAAAACTTTGATTAAAAGTATCTCAACAACCATCTAATAAAATTTAATAAAATTTTTTTATTGGAATTCAATAAATCTGTAAAATTTAAATAAAAAAAATCATCAAATTTGTTAGATGGTTGTTGAGATACCTTTAATTAGAGGCTTAAAAAAATCCAAACATCTATCAAAATAATAGCTATAGCAAAATTTTCTCTAACTTTGATTAAAGGTATCTCAATAACCATCTGGCCAATTTTGATGAATTTTTTTATTTGAATTCTACAGACTCATGGAATTCTAATAAAAAAAATTATTAAATTTTGTCAGGTAGTCGTTGAGATACTTTTGATTAAAGTTTTTAAAAAAGTGATCTGCATGAATGTAGAAATATACTATAGTGTTTTATATCTATATATACATTATCTCAAAAACTGGTTAATTAATCGGTGTGGCTGTTCTAAATAAAATTTTCTACACCCCCAAAAACCCTTCACAAACCCTAATCCTAACCTTAATACTAATTTTAACGTGAAAAAATTGGAGTTAAAAATTTTATATACAAAACTTATAAAAACTTAGAAAATTTTAAAAAACATAATAAAAACAAATAAAGATGCAAAACCAACATAGGTGCGTTTTATAATAATTGTTTAAAAAAATTTTATTTTGTTATAAAAATTAATTTACATATGTTCAATTCTAATTGGTCAGTAAAATTTACTACTGTAAAAGTATTAAATCTATCCAAATATTAAATAAATATTAAAATCTATTTAATTGCTAATATATACAGAAAGACCTCTAAATGCACACAATAGAAACCGAGCTTTTAAAAACATACATTTAAAGAACAATAAGAAAACGTGCATTTATAGGAGTCAAGTATATATTTGGGCCGGAAGTTAAGAGTGTATTTAAAGATATGGTGCATTTAGAGAGGTCTCTCTGTATATGTTTATTATTTTTTTTACTTTTTTAGAACATGCTGTTCAATTTAATTATTTGTTGTTTGACTTTCTTGAAAATTGGTATTTTTGTTCTACAATAGTAATTAACAAAATTATTTTTTTTAAATATATCAGTATTTATTAACTCAAAAACAATTATATATTTACCTCTTTAACAAATTGGTATATATTGTATATATGTGAAGTTAACAAAGCAGTTGGGAATTTATTTTTTATAATATCCATAGAGACATAATCAGGCCAACATCCAAGAGAATTATCATCGTCTCCAATATAATCATAAAGGGGAAGAGCTTCTTTAATGGTTTCACTATTAATTGACAAATATCTTACGATAAGTCTTTTTAAAGCAATTAAGAATGCATCTGCAGAAATTTTTGCAGATTTTCCTGAATTGGTTTGTTCAAAATATACTGCTTCTGAAATAATTTGCTTTATAGATTCGTCTAATTCAGCCTTATACTTTGAAGATATACATTTGGCGGCTATTAATGTATCAGCAACGTGTTCTTCAACTAACTCATACAATGCTACGATGTGTTTAAGTTGTAATCTTGTTCTTCTTAATAATTTATAACATCTTTCCTTTTTCAAACCTAACTTCATCCAATTTTCTATATAATCACTAATTAAAGTATCACAATCTCCTCCAGACGTTTGTTTTAAGAAACAAATAATTATTTCTAAGGCAGAAAGTAATTCCATTTGATTTTCTGATATTTCTGGTTTCTTATCAACAGGAATTGGTTCTTGACGTATCAAAATTTTGATCTCCTCTAATATTGTCATAGATCTACTAAATAATTCTTTGTGATATATAAATGAGTTCAAATACATTTGATCTTTATTTGATTTGATCAACTTTTTTCCATACACTAAGTCTTGAGCCAATTTAGCTTCGATCTTGTATAGATCATAATAGATTTCTCGGCCATGGCCTAACCTAAGATCATGTTGACAATATATAAAAACATCGGAAATGCCATCGTATTTAATTATTGGTTCTGATTTTACATTTTCAAGGTTTATAGATTGTAGACAATATCTGCCTGTTTGAACGTCTGATTCTTCAATAAACTTTAATGATTGGCAAGTTCCACAAGAAACTTCTATAATATCATTTAGAAAATCGTTTTGCAATTGAACCAAGAATTCTATTGTTGCGCATAGATATAAAGATTCATCAGTTGGTTCATATAATCCATAAATTATTGATGTTTCATTATCTATTTTTGGCATTTCTTGTGGTAAATCTTTACATTGATATCGTTTAATATGAGGAGTTAAACGGTTCCATGAGTTCGCAAAGCTATTAAATGCCGCATTTAAAAATTCTTCAGTGGTTCCACTTTCATCGTCTTTGCTTTCATCTACTATAAATTGTTGAAAAGTTAAATTACGTGCTCTTTGCCTTTCAATTACATTGGAAAGTCTTGAAGACAGTATTTGTGTAAATTTCACGATTGGTAAAAGAAGTTGAATAAGATTCAGATGTTTTTCATGTTTTAAGAATATGTATAATAATGGAAATGCATCTTTATTTTCAATATTCGACATACAGTAAGATTTAAGGTTGTCTAAATCTGGTTTTTCGATTAATCTCCATAGTAGAGGTGAATAGTTCTTATTGTAATGATCATTAACTTCCATAGTCTCATTAATTTCAACAGACTTTTCTGCATTTTTGTCTAACATTATTCGAAAATCATTAGCAGTTCCGACAAAGTTCTTAATCTTTGGTAAAACATATTGTTGATTAAAAGATTCTTCCCAAGATTCTCTTTGAGCTGGTGATACAAACTTTTCAACATTTTGAGAAGGTTCTTGCGACATTTCTGAAAGTATGGAATGAATAAATAATGCCAAAGTTTCATCTTCGCAATTAAAAATGCTTTTTAATGCCTTCCAATCATTTTCAATATGTTTCTTGCAATATTGAGCAATATTACTATTCGGATCATTAATAAAAGCGATAGTAGTTGATGAGTTTGCTTGAACGCCAATAATAATGTGTAAGAACAGATGAAGAATTCTGTAAGATGCTGGATTTAAGGTCCTAACGGAATGAAATTCGTCAAATATATCTTCAATTAAATACCCTTTTTTATCATTTACAGTCACAGAGTGTTCGATTCTATTTCTATCTATATCGATATTTCCCGCATTAAGTACATGATTTGAGCCGCCAATCCTGTTTTTACATTGATTACATGTACCAATCTGATCTGGACGTCCACAATTACCGATAAAATAAATATTTCCGCATTTACATTTATATCTATGAAATTTTAATATATATTGTTAACATAAATATGTTTAAATAATACAGTATGCGACAAGTAACATACCTTCTGGTTCCTAAATCATTTGCTATTATGACATTTGTTAATATAGCCAACTCATCTGATGGACAAGTCACTATATAAGTATCTTTGTGATCATATAAATCTTGCATATATCCGGTTAGAGGAGATGAGTTCATAGGGTTTGAAATATGCAATGCTACGACATGAGCAGCAACAGACGAGATAAATACATAAGTGCTTTTAACATTTGGGTTTAGTTCATATAGTTGATGATTATTTGTCATAAAATTTAAAAGATACATTTTATAATTCTCTGGAAGTTGAGATGATTGTAGATATTTAGAAATCCTTTGTATTAAAATCTTTTCATTTTGATTCAATTCACGTGATGCTCTTACGAGATAAAAATTTGATATTATCATTCCTGCTAATAAAATTTTTTGAGTCGTCTCACCATCTCCAATAATATTATTTAACAAATTATTTGCAGTTAACTCATCACTATAAGAAATTATTTTATAAAAACAATCAACTTGTTTAAATTCGTTAAAATACCAATAAGGATTAAATCCAAGACGGCTATTTGAATCAGTTTTTAAAATTCTGACCCAAGGTAAAACTTGTTGTAGTGCATCACAATATTGTTCAATTTCATAAGTCACTAATCCTTTCAAATATAAAGACTTTAGCAAATATATTTTGAATGAATGGACCAAAGGGTGTACGATTTCCAAACATTTATTTAAATCATCAAGATTAATTGATTCTTTGTTACTCCAAAATTCATTTGCAAATTCTTTCAAAAGAGCAATGGCAGTAATTTTTTGCAATTCTTTGGAATCGTTGTTAATCAAAATATCTGTTGCTTTCTGAAGATATTTAGATAGTACATTAAATTGATATTCTGTGGAGAGCTGAGTCTGAATAACATCACAACATAATGCAGCCATTTCTGAGTTTTTTCGTTTCGATAAGATATTTTCAATGGTTTGCAGCCGCTTTGTACTATCTAGTATCTGTGAACCATTAATAAGACTTAAAAACAATGAACCTTCAAGTTCTTTATTTTCGGACTCAAAAATTAGGTAAATATTAGGGAAAGCAAGTGTTAATGTTTCTTGTGAAAATATTTTTTTATAAAGATAACGACGGATAGGTGATTTAGGCGGAATTGTGTTCAAACATCTATAAATAAAAGATTGCCTTGAAGATAATCTAACTTCTGTTTGCTCTATTTGCTCAAGCTTTTCGAAAACAGTGTCAATAGACTGCTTTGAAAACGGACTGATTTCATATTGGTATTGCTTAATTTGAAGCAGTTGTGCAGAAGAGATAGATTTAGACAAGTCATTATATATTCGAAGCACATTTAATGATTGATTGTCGGATGAATTCGGCAAACTGCAAGAAATTAACAAAATTTTTGCGACATCACGTTGCCAAGCTTGAAGTTTGATTTGCATGTGATGTGAATTACTCTTGTGATAAGATCTACGGGAACGGCGTGTACCAGTAAATAAGTAAAGTGTGCCCTTGTTATCATCCAAATCATTATTATCCTCAATAATATTAAAAAGTTCATTAATCATAATATCTGATACTCGACTTAATAAGTCACTATCGATATTAAAATCACTGCTTTCATCAAATGCTGTATTGAGAATTTCTTCTTTCGAAATGTTTTGAAGTAGTAAAAGTAATTGCAACTCAGTTAAGATTAAATCTTCATTGCCCCACCAAAATGTATGAAGTCTTATGGGATCCGGTACTTCTTGCTTCATATGATGAGATATAATTCTGCGTAATGTTTTGCTATTATCAGTTTTTCCATGCAAAATAATAGTTGTAAAATCATTGAAATATGCATTTTGCAATTTAAACTGTGGTATTTTCAACACAGGGACCATGGAAATCACGTGTTCAGAAAATCTTTCAATGCATTCATCGATAATTTGTGATTTGAGATTACCAGTTTCTTTATCGAGGTTTTCTGGAACTCTTTCTAGCATCCTTAAATCATCTTGGTATATGCTTTTAAATTTATTAATCTGTTCCATAAAATAAATTGAAAATGGAAGTTTTAAACCATTAGAACTGTTTTTTATTATGTAGGGCATCTTTATATTCTCAACGTTAACTATTTCGGTATTCATAATTATCGGTTTCCAGAAATCGAATAAATTAGATGTAGCATTATCGTTTAAGCCTTCCTCATTTAATAATCTATCACTATCAATAATTAAAAGCCCTGACACTTTTTCCAAGGCAAATAAGAGTTGAGCTATAGGTTTTCTAACCTGATTACAAATAAACATTTGTAAGGCAGTTAAGAACGAAGAATACAGATATAAATCTTCTCTGTTTACTGCCACGCTTAATTGCCAGTCCTTGAATTGTTTATCGCGTAGCCACTCAAATGTTCTTTCCTTTATCCAATTCATGAATTCCTTATTACGCGGAATTTTTTGAACAAGTGATCTATAATAGCAAGATAAAATTATTTTCAAGTACATGTGGATGATACGTGTGAAAAGACTACTTGCCTAATGTAATCAGCTGATTCATAGGATGGTGGAAATTCCATGCAAAGCAAACACCATAATAACTCACGATCAATGACTTTCTCGAATGTATATGCTGTCTCCAGAACATTTATCAAATTTTTATCTAAATAGTCCTCAATAGTAAATTCTTGAGGTGTTAATGTTTCAATAGAAAATAGGTCCCATTCACACATGAAATTAAATGATGATACTGTAGAGGTCGCATTTTCTTTTCTCAAATGAAGAATTATACAAACATGTTTAACCTGCACGAAAGAGTATTTGCTTGCCATGAATTCATTTTTATATTGCTCAATAATAAATTTTGCAAGTTTAATACATTCTGAATTTGATGAATTCAGATCACATTGTAAAATTAAAATATCAGCTTTGGATTCTAACCAGAAATGTTTAATACGGGACTGGAATTGAGCCTCACTTTTGAATGTTGAGAGCTTATCAACCTGACACCTTAAAATGTTATTTAAACAAGATTCAACATCAGTGTTAATGCTTGAAAATGTGTAAACAATTGCATTAAAGCCTTGTGCATTTTTAGCATCTTCCATCAATGATTCAATATAGCCAGGGAAGTTTTCATGATATTGTTGTTCAAAATAGAATTTATACCAATAATCCACTTCTTTATTACTTAACATCGATTTTTTTGAGCGCACAATTCCATCCGGCATGGCTATACCTATCAACATTTCTTTGCACTTGTGCAAAATTTTCGTTTCGTCATCTAACTCTGGATCATTGCTATTGTAAATTACTAGACTTTGCAATGTTTCTTCCTTATCGAATCCAATAAAAATATCATTCTCATTGAATTTCGCTGATTCGGCTTCAATATTTGAAATCTGGTTTGACCATTCTGCAAGTTTATTTAATAACCCTTTCATGTTATCGTCTATTGCATCATTGATAGACATTTTTTGTTTTTCAAATCGATTTAATAGTGGAGGGTCCGAATAATCAACTTTCTTTTCATCAAGAACTAATATACAACGAAAATTTTCATGGACGCAGACCATAGGATTTGAATAAGCACCCAATGCAACGCGTGTATAAAATGTTTGACTTCCTTCCTTTCCTACGGTTATGTAATTTTGGTTCCATAAATCGTAAAGACTTCCTTTATATTTTTTTGAAAAAAAAATTATGCACCTATTAATAATAAGTCATAAATGAATGAAATTCTAAAATAAACACGTAAATGAATAATACCATAAATAATATCCAGATCCGTCAAGATTAATGGCCTTCCTACTTCCACACACATCTACAGACAATAAAATTTATGAGCAAATATTATATCACAACAGGAATTATGTATAATTATAAATTTGAACTATCTTACCATAATACGGCTTAATACACTATACTGGTAATCACCACCAAAATCATTGGGAAATTGGCTGCCATAAATAACGACGGGTTCCAAATCCAAATTTGTATCATTAAATTTAGGATCGTTATTCCATTGCTTTAATTTATATGACAAGATATTAACAATTGAATCGCTTTTTCCAATGATCATTAAATGACGTGAGTTTTTATCTTTTAGGTTTGCTTTAATGAGATCTTCGATTGAATAATTCTTGAAACTATCAATAGAACCATGAAATGCTTTTATGACTTTTCGAAAATGAGTTTTATAAAGTTCATCCATTTGACTAGTTCCTCCAAAGTTTCTTGCTAATGCCATTTGTGCAACCTATAAACGAAATAATTAGATCAAGTCATATATCCCCATTAAAGAATTTTATAGATTTAATAAATACCTCTCCACTACCAAGGCTTTTAACCAAGAAATAGTAATCTCGAAGTCCATGAAAATTATTAATAGGTTGAATTTTTCTATATTCAAGATAAGCATCAACTAATGCTTTAAATTGCGATTCTGTGCACTCTCCCAATAATAGTTTTGTCGTATAAATTAAGTCCTTGCTTTCAAGATTTGGCCTAAAATAATAATAATAATAATAATAATATATTTGAGTAACTTCTGATTTTTAAAACGTGAAGCCAAATAATTTATTTTCATAAAACAAACCTCTGTACTAATAAGGCTCTGCTTGACTTAGAATTATCGAGTCTCCAATTACTTATTCCAATAACTGCAACTTCTGGAAGTTCTGCAGGATAATTTGGCTCGAGTAAAGAATGTAAAACTTTTAATGGATTATGAGGGCTTTTTTCGGCCAATCCAACTAATGAAAAAGACATGTGAAAATAAGTTATCAATTATAAGTATCCATAGCAAATATTAATAAATTAAATGATTGAGGATTGAAAATTGAATATTTACCTTCATCAAGTAAAACAACAGTGATTAATGGAAATTCTTCTGAGTTGCCTTCCTGGTATTTATTTGCTTTATTGAATACGGTAATAATACCTTCAGATGTTGAAGATGATGATCCTTGATAATGAACTAGATATATCTAAAAGGTACGTAATAAATTCATGAGAATAGACGAATGAAATGATCTAAAATTTTATTACTTTGATTTGCTTACTTGAGGAAGAGTTCTAAAATATGGGTCATCTGAATCATTACCACGGAGACTTTGACTAACAATACGAATAGCTAGAGATTTTGACGCTCTAATCCATTAAATAACAAATTTTAGTGTTAGTATATTATATATTTTCTTTCTCACAAAATGATTAATGATGATTTACCCCGGAGCACCAATGATAAATAGTGGAATGCGTGTTAATATGCATACAGTAATTGCGAGTACGTTTTCAAGGAGAGCAAAGTTCTCAGCAACCATCTTCGGTTTCGTCATACGTTTCATAAAATCTTTCTGTTCATCCTGAATAACCTCCGAAAAAATTTTAGAATTTATTTTTACTCCATGCTTTTCAAAGATTTCACACATTCTATCTTGATATTGATTGCGTAACTTTTGGTCAAAAAATCTGACTTGGTAACAAAGACTTAGTGCTAATATATAGGATTTTATAATATTGTTTGGTTTTTCAAAATATGATTTTAGATTAGTCGCTGTGCGTAAAATTTTAGATCCAATGTTTTCTGTTTTAAATAGTTTTTCAGATATATTTTGACGGTCAACAAGACTTTTGCGGAAAAATTCAAATACGATTATTGCTCTTTTTATATCACGCAAACTAACACTATGTGCTCCTTCATGAATCCTTACAAATTCTTGTGATTCAAATAAAAGTTCTGTAAATAAATTTGTATTTTTTAAGTTTTCCGTGGACTTTTTTGTCATCATTTTTATATGAATCATTTCATCTGAAGGCTTTAAAACACCATAATCCCACACATAATCTAATATCTGATCAGGAAGTGGTCGTACTTGATAGACAAGGCTGTTCTTTTCCTCATATCTGTCAACTAAAAGTCCAGCTTGAGTATCAGCTTTTTGACGTAAACGATAAGGATTGCAAGCTGCAAAGAGTCTAATATTTTTATGAATTTCTTTTCCTAAATTTTATAATATAAAATTGTGTAATTATATATTATCACGTGCAATTATTTACATAAATCTTATGGAGTGACGAAAATATACAAACCTAAGAGTAACCTATGAGCGATGAGGTCTGCGAAAATACCAATATGGTTGCATGTATTAATTTCATCAAAAAATAGCCATACTTCATTTTGTTCTGCAATTTTTTCTGCATCAGATAAAAATTCAAGTATTTGTTGCTTGGTTACACCAGCATGCAGATTTAGAATTCGTAATTCAACATCGACAACAATTGAAAGAAATTGGATGAGACTTGTCTAATATAATGTTAAAGGGTTATAAGTTAAATTCATAAAATTTTTTAAAATGTGTAATCAGAATTTTAAAGTTTATCACCTTGCCGCATCCGGCTTCACCGCAAATTACTACTGGTATATTTGCCCTAGATCGCAATAAAATCAGTGCCATTTTTAAAAGATTATCTGTCGAAAGCGCATATGGTACATATTCACGCTCATCACATGTTGTTCGTGCTAAACATTCCAATTTCTTCAAGATTTCTTCTGAAGACATTTTATCATAATCATCTAATTTAAAATCGGAATTCTTTGAAAAATATTGGCTTCTCAACAGATCTTCGACATTTTTCGGAACTCTACTTTTATAACGATAAAGCGCACAGATCGAATCAGGAGATTGTGATAAGAAAAATACTAGTAAATGGTTTAAATCTTCCCAATGCTTGATGGTTGTGTTAATTAGATTCCTGTCCTCATTAGCCAGGTTTTTGAATTGATTCTTCTTTGGATTTACCGAACGAGTTGCGAAATCCATGGATACTTTTATTAACGTTTCTAACAATGTCCTTCGGATGTTAACGTCTGCTTCCATCCAGGCTAACGTTTCAGTGCGAAAAAATGCGCTAGACGACATTCGCTTCAATTGATCCGAAAGAACGTTAACAAATATTTCAAGGAAACGATAAGTTTTAATATCTTGAGCAATCTTATCAAAGAAATATTTTTGTAATAATTGTCGGCAACGTGTCTCAGGGATCAATAGTTCTTCATTAAGGTCGATATTAACTGTGTTAATTAGATTAAGATCATATGCATCTAAATATCTGGAAACAATTTGAATAGGACTGTTTACATCTTGGGGAATAATTGTATTATCGATACCCCATGTCAAATGCTTTCTTTTTAAATGTCCTAGAATAGGAATAGAATTGAGTAAATCTTGATTTACGGTTGATTCTATTTCTATATATATTAATGCCGATGGAACACTTAGGAAATTGGCTCTATCTCTTACAATTTTAAATGAAAGAGATTCAAACAGAAACATGTTTACATCATAATGATTTTCTATCAACAAAATATTTAAATGCAAATTCTCTGAATTTTTTAATCTGATCTCCGATAATTTATGTACAAGTGTTCCAAACGTCACCCCATCACTTATTAAAAATTTTCGTGGTGCTGATCCATGATTTAAACTTTGGTTTTCAATCCACCTGGATTTTCCTTGTCCAGATAACTCAGAGGAAACTACCCATACATAAGGACATAATTCTTCATAAATATTGCGCATTGAATCTGCATCAAAACCTTGAGTTACATGAATATTTTCTGAAAATTGGTCGAGTATATGATGATGCATATTATTTTCAAGACAACATATCAAGGCCAAATAGAATTCCTTTTCTTGTTGACATAGGAAACGTATGTTTGATACCAATTGATATTGCAACTCAAAATCCAAAACTTCTACATTTGCAATACAAAACAAGTACTCTCCGTATCCATTCTTTGCAGCAAAAAAACATCGTTTTGTGAACGTCAGGAGTTCTTCTGTCGTGGTAGAAGATTTACAAATTAGAACTTGCCATGCTTCTGGATAACATTTATTATGTGAATTATATAAAGACATAATAATGTTGGGTACTTGAAATTTATTGTTACACGTCGCTATGAAAAGACGTCCCTGACAGACCACGTCTGTTGTTTCATACTTAACAGCGGCTGTCATTTGACGTTGCGTGATAGGAATTCGGCTGAAGATGTCATGTAATATTGTACCAATCTTGCAAAGTATATCATAATAATTTTTAGATTCAAGAGGGATTTTAAGCATATCAAAGTTAATATTTGGCAGTTCGGCTTTATTATTGACAGATTTCAAGAGTACTGAACATTCTTCTTTAATATTAAGTCTTGTTATACTTTCATTATATGAAAAATTCTTGACAATCATCGAGAAAATTGATTGTCTTTCTTTGTTATTAGAGTGCGTAGTCACAGTATTTTCGTTGCAAGAAAAATAATCATAAAAATTCAAGATATGTTGTGCTAGGAAAAAGGTCAAATAGTAATGGTTTTGTTGTGCTTCACTAACGATTTGTTTCCAATCCCGCAAATCATCAAGTAAAGTATTCAACAAATTTTCCATATCTGAAGTTGAACGCGTAAATCCTTTAAAATAATAGTACTTGAAATGTCCAAGCTCTTTTAATAATGAAGCAGTATCAATTATTTCTTGCGCGAGATCAACTCTAACTATAAATTCATTCATATAATCTTGTGCTGTCTCATCTGACATGATCATCCTTTTATTAGTTTTCGTATTGATGAAAGTATTGGAAGGTGCTCTTGCTATCAATAAAGCACGACCACGTAAATCTTGAAGATCTGCAAAGGTATAACTCACAATGTTTTCTTGTAAAATATCCGAAGCATAAGATAATGTTGCCGTATATCTATTTTCATCATCTTCCATTCTTTTAAATGAATATTCTCCTTTTGTCACTGAATATATAATCTTTTCTTTTGTCACCTCACCACGATTCGAAACGTTATTATACAAATTTTTTAAAGCTTGGGCATTGGCATTACACAACCGTAACTTGGAAATTAGAGATGGATTCCTATTTACGATGTTATGTAGAATTTGGAAGAATTCTTGCACCGCTGAATGCCTATCATCCCCTTCTCTCTCCTCTAATAAAGGCTCCAAGATCTGTTTTACTTGAATAAATGTCTGAACAATATTTTCTTGGATTAAACGTTCATCTGAATGATCATCAACACCATTAATTAAATTTTGAAGATTGTTTCCAACAAGTGACTTAAGAAAAATTATAAAATCTTTAGAATCACAGATTTCCTTAATTATTAACCAAATATCGTTTGTCAATAATAATGTCATTTCAATTTTATTAAGCTTATCAAAAGCTTCGTATAATTGGTAAAGCAACAAATCCTTATCTTCCAAGTTATTTATCAGTTCTTCTACCCAAAAATCTTGATCACACAGAATAATACCCAAATCTTTGATCACAATCGTAAGTTGACGTAATCTTTCCAATGTTGATGAGATATTAACTAAAAGTTTCACAGAGCTAATTAATCTTTGAACATTATGAATTCTTGATCCTGATGCGTTATGATCAGGATTATTATTTGACTTTAATTTGTCAAAGTAAGGAATCATAAAATTAATTTCTCTTTCAACATGTTCTGTATCTACATTTTTCCAAAATTCAATTGCAACGGCACATTTAATTTCTTTCTTTTCATCATATTCTTTACATTTAATCTGATAATTTTCAACGGCCTTTTTAAAAATATTATTCATTACTTGTTTAACCGTCAATTCTTCCGTCAATTCAACTTGAAAGATGTTGTAGAAGGTTTGTGAGTCAATAAATGAATAATAATCCTTCATAATTTCAATCGTTACGGAATGCATTGACCAGTGATCTTGGACATATGAGTCTTTCAGTGTTGTACTGATTGATCTTTTTGTTAAGTCGTCAAAATGCAATTGCACGTCTGTTACTAACTGAGAAGGACAAAATTTTTCATAAAATTTTTGGAGACGCTCTAAAGTTGAAATGTATGAATTACATTGATTGTAACTTTTTTCTAGAACTTCGTCTGTAATTAATTCTTCTGAATCATTTCCTACGGCGGAATTAATATAATCCTTAAGGATTTGGTTGTTACTAAAGCAAATAAATATTTTTTGAAGTAATTTTATTGTTATATCACTATTTTTAATAGCCATAGCTGTACGAATCACTATTTCGTATGCTTCTTTAAAATATGTATGAGAACGCAGTTCTTGAATATCACCTCTTGCTTTAAATATGGTCGTCCAAAATTTTGCGAACCGGAATAACGAAAGTTGAAATGTTTCTATTTCATGATATTTAACTCTTTTCATTTGCTGTAAAAGGCCGAGTATAAAGCATAAAATTTCTTCACAATAACTAAATTTGAAATTTCATAAATTTCATATTAATTCAGGATACGCGTAACGATCATGTGAAACTAATTTTCAAATATTTTTCATACCTATTTGAAACATTTAAAGTCGATTCGTTATCACTATTACAAATTCGCATGATAATTTTCAAGAGGCGCTCATCAGGATCTTGAACAAGAGGTCTAACTCTGGACTTTAATAAGGATGTGAAACGAGTTATTATATCCGCATGAAAGTCGTTAACGTTAATAAATGATGTAATTGAGAATAAAGAGTCATCGGACAATGACGTAACGATGTTATGATTCATAAACATGTTTAAAATGTCTTGATCGTGTATTGAAGTTGAATAAATTATTGAAAGGTAATAGAAGATGTTATAAGCTGAGCTTTCTTTTTGTTTACAGATATTTATTAACCATTTGATTGACGTATGTTCAAGTTCCTTTTGAATTGTGATCGAATTCAATCCCAATATATATCTAAAAATTTCCGGAAAAGATTCCAATAAACTTATTTGATCTGATTCAGCAATTGTTTCGAGTATGCTAGCATATTCTCTATTATGCCACCTCAAATTAGGTTCATTAAGAAACTTTAGAAGTGAGGCGACATTTTTATCATTCCAACATAGCTTCTTTTCTTTAAGCAATTCTAAAAGTTTTTTACGAATTTCGTAAGAGAAATAGTCGCAATCTTTTAATTCTTTAAAACATTCTTGCAGATATGCGAGACTTTCAACATCATATGACATCCTAATGAGTTTTTTCATCATTCTATCTAGTGCATCAAGGTTATTAAGATCGTTAATGCTAGGTTTTAATACTTCTAATAGTTTTATGAAATTGTCGGGTAGTCTTTTATAATCGTATATTTCAATTGAATCAATAAATGAGTATGATGTATCAAACTTAGGCGCAAGTGCAAACATTGCAGTCCAATCTAGAGACCCGTATTTAGAGTTATGCTGAACCAAAGCTTTAATGGCACTTACGACCAAGAATTTTGTATTTGAAGGTAAGCTAGAACTATCATGGACGTTTTTAAATTCTTTTATCATCGTGGCAGATCGAAAACTGTCGGGAAGAACAGATCTATATAAAAAGCCACTTTGATATTCTATATAATAACCAAGGAGAACGTACAAAAACAATACTTGTTCTTTTGTTTTGTTTGTTTCTATATGCTGGTTAATGAAACTGATTATTTTGTAAATTTCTTTAAAGTCCCTGTGCCTTTTTAAAATATGTTGGTAATCCATGATCCCGATTTTTAAGTCAATAGGAGATTTTATGCTCTTGTAAATATAATCGGTAAATACAAAAGCTTCTCTATATGAAAATTGATCTTTTTTAAATTTATTGCTATCTTTCCAAACGTCGTAAAGATTCCCACGAAGTTCCATTCTCCTATTGGTTGTGAACTCATCACCTTCAAAATTTAATAAACGCTCTGATGAAACCAAACAATATTTGTATTCAACATCTATGTTTGCTAGGACGTGAATGTGCACATGATCAGACACCCAAAGAGTAGAGTTTGGAATCTGACGAAGCCATACTTTAGGTGTTCTCCAATTACCTAAAGCTTCGCAATTTCCCAAAACTGCGAGCTTGCACGAATCAATATTAAATGGTAAATGAACATGAAAAACCGAAATGATTTCTGTATATTCGATTTTATTCATACTCAAAAGCTATTTTTATTATTTTTTTTAAAAAAAATAAAAAAGATATGCTTCCTTGTTGAAGTTAAAAAAAAACAAGATAAAAATTTAATATCCCTCCTTAAATACGTATATATATATTAATTATCCTAGCGCTAGCGCTAGACAAAATTTGATGGCGTACAATGGTGATGTTACAGCAGAAGATTCTGTTATAATGGCATGACCACTTGTGCGAGTGATACAAACTCTAAAAAAGAAAGTGGACAATCAGAGAATGTAAATTTTCATCTTAGGTCAAGTCGACACGTGCGAAAAACCAATAAAAAATTTTTTTAAAAAAGTGAAATACAAGAAAAACTATTGTTTAAATCTGCTTTGTAACTAATTAAAAATGATGGGGATGAAATTTTAAACCTAAAAATCCTTATAGCTACGGACTCTAATAATCTTAGTCCGATTGTCTTACGTATTTTTACTTCAACTTTCCTTTTTATCGTATCACTCGCAATCACTCGCATAAATACAGTCTAGGAATATACCAAATTTGGACATCGATGATCGCACCTTATTTAGTAACGATCACCAATAAAATTGTTCTAGGACGTTCTTTCAATTTGATCTAGAACGTTATACTGCAACAAATAATAGTACGTGCGTATTAGCTTTAAATT